AGAGGGGAAGAACTAGACGGCGAGGGCGATGGTGAGGCAACGGGGGCGAGGGCTGAAAAGCCCTAGCCGCCTATTTCTTCCTTCTTTTTTTATTTTAATTTCAGCTTATTTTTTAATTTAATTTAAATAAAATTTGTATTGAAAATCATAGTTGGATCAAAACGACGTTGTTTTAACCTTATGTTTCCGTCATAGCTAAGTAGGGAAGATAAAATATTTAAAAGAGTCACGTCAGCATTTTCTATTGTTAGACGGAATTAATGAATTATGATGATGAGATATCCGTGGTCATGGGTTTTAATATTTTTTTTTATGATGTTTTGTGGGCCTCGAGGCCGTATCTGTAGCTGTGGGCATAGCTTTCGTTGTTGGGTCTCGCGTCCAGAAATTCGTTTGTGTAAACTACGTTTGATCGTGAAAGGCCCAGTTACGTTTGAGGCTTGAGTGGGTCCCCTTATATTTCTCCTTTTCTTTTAAGTGTTGAATGAAGCAACGAAAGACACGGAATTTTTTTTTTTTTGGGGGTCAAAATACGGATTTATTTGAGAGGACGCGAGTATACACGTTTTGATTGGTAAATCCACAAACAACACGAACTTAATATACACAAGTTCTTTAACCTAACTTAACAAGAAATAATCTACTTTCAAACGATCAACTACAAAATTTAAATATGACAATCAAATCATTCCATTAACTCCTTCTAACTTGGATTAATGAAAAATGTTGACGTGGCTTTTTTTTAATATTTTTTTATTTCTTACGTGATGACGATGTGGCTAAAATGACATCGTTTTGGTCAAAATATATTTTTTAATACAAATTTTATTTAGATTAAATTAAAAAAAAGAGAGAGGAAGAACTAGACGGCGAGGGCGATGGTGAGGCAACGGGGGCGAGGGCTGAAAAGCCCTAGCCGCCTATTTCTTCCTTTCTTTTTTATTTTAATTTCAGCTTATTTTTAATTTAATTTAAATAAAATTTGTATTGAAAATCATAGTTGGACCAAAACGACGTTGTTTTAATTTTATGTTTCCGTCATAGCTAAGTAGGGAAGATAAAATATTTAAAAGAGTCACGTCAGCATTTTCTATTGTTAGACGGAATTAATGAATTATGATTGATGAGATATCCGTGGTCATGGGTTTTAATATTTTTTTTACGATGTTTTGTGGGCCTCGAGGCCGTATCTGTAGCTGTGGGCATAGCTTTCGTTGTTGGGTCTCGCGTCCAGAAATTCGTTTGTGTAAACTACGTTTGATCGTGAAAGGCCCAGTTACGTTTGAGGCTTGAGTGGGTCCCCTTATATTTCTCTTTTTCTTTTAAGTGTTGAATGAAGCAACGAAAGACACGGATTTTTTTTTTTTGGGGTCAAAATATGGATTTATTTGAGAGGACGCGAGTATACACGTCTTGATTGGTAAATCCACAAACAACACGAACTTAGGACGAGCATGAAATCCATTCTGGAGTAGGAAATTCTACTCCGGAATGGATCCGAACGAAATACGTTTGTCGAAAAATTTTTGAATGAATTACGGAGCCGATTTTGCGTTACGGAATAAAACGCGTTTGTTAAAAATATTTGATTTCGAATCGCATTTTTTATTCTTAAGAATACATTTTTATTCGAGAATGAGTTTTGGGCGAGAAAAAGAAGAAGCTACTTTTTGTAGCTTCTCTCTTCCGAATGCATTCTCCCTATTTTCTCTCTTTTTCTCACTAATTTTTTTCAAAAATGCATAAAAATTGAAAAATTCAGAAAAATTCATAAAAATTTCTAGAAAATAAAAAAAAAAGTCGATTTAGGGAAAATAGGAAATTTGGTGAATTTTTTTCAAAAAATATAAAAATAAAAAATTTCAAAACTTCATAGAATGGTTTAGAATACTTTGAGCACCTACTTTGAGTAAAATTCGATTTTTGAGGTGCCCAAAAAGTCAAAAATCAAAAATTTCAAAACTTCACAAAATGGCTTAGAATACCTTTGGGCAAGTGCCACTTTGAGTGAAATTTAATTTTTTGAGGTGCTTAAAAAATCAAAAAATCAAAATTTCAAAACTTCACGAAATGGCTTAGAATACCTTTGGGCACTTACTTTTAGTGAAATTTATTTTTGAGGTGCCAAAAAATAAAAAAATAAAAATAGATTGCTTCCGAAAATCAATTTACTGAGAGAATTAGTCATATTTTATCAAACAGTTTTCTCCTCCAAAAATCAATTTACGGCAAGAATTCTGAAATCAATTTCGCAAGAATTTGATTTCGGAGCAGATGTTGCCATTCGCGCCCTTAGTATACTCAAGTTCTTTAACCTAACTTAACAAGAAATAACCTACTTTCAAACAATCAACTACAAAACTTGAATACGACACGTGAATACGAATTGTCAGTCCTGACTCTAAGGATTGGACTATTGAAAACGAGTGTAATTTGAGTCGAACCATTTTTTATCCGACCCAACTCATCCGTTTGACGGATTTTAATGTCTGTGATCTCATTTGTTTATTCCTTTCTTATATTTATTGAATGTGGAATCATAGAATAATTGCGTTCTCCCCATGAAACTCATATGAGCTAAACCAAATTAAATTCAAGTTTACCAATTCGAAAAGTAGCAGTCGCCAGCATTCAGCAAGGCGAAAAAGTCGGTTCAAACCATGTCTTAAGCATGGTGGAGGCTCATGGAGTTGTGTATCACCTGATTTCAAATTCACGGCGAGAGTTGCCTATGCTTTGAAAGGGAAAATTATAAATAAGGGCTTGAAGTGCTCCCATTTTCTCAAATAAGGGTCTGAAGTAGACTTAGTATCAAATAAGAGCATGAAGTGCCCCCATTTTCTTAAATAAGGGTATGAAGTGGATTTTGTTTCAAATAAAAGTATGAAATGACTATGTCTATTTCAAAAAAGGACTTATCTTTCAGTATGGTAAGGGCATTTTCGTCTTTTAACTCTTTTTGAATTTTGTTCCTTTTTTCTTTCTTTTTCCCTTTGTTCTTTTTTTGGTTTCTCTTTGCCGGCCACCAGCGAAGCCAAGAAAAGGCTAGGCAAGGATCGTACTCGCTCGATCTGGAGAGGGCCACCCTCACTGTCAACAGGCGAGGGACTGCCTTGCCTAGGTGAGGGTCGCCTCGCTAGCTGTCGGTGAGGGACGGCCTTGCCGGTAGCTGGCGAGGGCCGGGCCCGCCCATGGTCGATGAGAGCGGCCTCGCCCAATCTGGGCGAGGGTCGCCTTGCCTATTGCCGGCGAGGGTTTCCAACCCTTCTCGGGCTCGCCGGTGCCGCGAGCCACCGTTGAGACCACCTTGAGAGTAAAAAGAAAAACAAAAAAAGGAAAAAAAGAAAATAAATGAAAAAAGGAAAAAAAGAAAATATAAATATAAATTAAAATTGTCTTTGAAAAAAATTTGGGTTTTTCGAATAAATTTGGGTTGGGCTTGGGTGAGGTCAAGCCCTTAATTCAAAACTCTCACGCCACTTTAGTCCCTTATTTGAAACTAACATGCCATTTCAGGCTCTTATTTGACACAAATTCCATTTCAGGCTTTATTTAAGAAAATGAAGGCACTTCTGATCCTTATTTGAAATTTTTCCTGCTTTGAAACGTACACACTAGAATCTACATGCTTCTTCTACAACATATGAATTTTTAAGCCAACATAATTTCCAAGCATATCCGATTTTTCGGGCAAAGCCAAAATGGCCCCTTCTTCGGCCCAACCTACACTCCTGGGTGAAATACTCCGATTGTTCGATTTTTAAGAGATCACATTTCACCATTCACATGGCGAACGAACGTCTGAACTACTTATATTGCATTAATTAGAATCAACATATCTCGCGTGCAAAAACTTCATGGCTTCAAACCTCTTATTAGTGGTCTCCTGGTGATGCGCTCTTTGTATCGAATTTTCGAATCATGGGAGGAATGAGATCGTGCTCTTTAATCTTATTAATTAAATAAATTTCCTTCGATGCTTATTTAAGACAAAAAAGAAAAGGGAAAATATCAAAAACACACATCCCCTTTCGCCCGATATCTTTTACATATCTTTACTTTAAAAAATATCGAATACATGTCTGGGTTTTACCTTGGAAGGCCATTTTGCACTTTCACATCCATCGTCCTGGTGTTCCTATTTACAAAAATGCTATTTTCTTTCTAGAAATACTCATCTCCAAAATTTAAATTTTCACACCTATTCAAAATATTTAAAAACCTAGAAATGTATGCAAGATATTTGTCAAAGTAGAGAAAGCGGTCGTCTGTAAAAAAATAATAAGGATTAATACCATAAAAAGCTTCAAATTATATTCACTGTGATTCAAATAGCACGAACTTTTTTTGGTGTTACTAAAAATCATAACCTTGCCCATCTTGACACATATAGCTAAAAAAAATTGTGTCATAAAAATTCCTGAACTTATATTAGTGTGACAAATATATCTTGGATGGAACTGAAATAAGGGGTATATATATCATACATGTATAAGTTTGAGTTTTTTTGTGACAAAAAAATTTTGGGATATTTGTGTCACAGTGAACAAATTTAAGATTTTTGGTAACATAAAAAAAAAGCTTAATCATGTCACGGTAGGCCTAATTTGAGATTTTTTTTTTACGGTATTTGTCAAAAAATTAACTTTGTTTCTGGAAATTTTTTCAATAAAAAATAATAAAATAAAATGAATTGACGAGCCAAGGAAGGGGAAGTAAACCCACCTTTTGCCCCCTCCTCCTCCTTCAACCTCGCCTCCTCTCCGAGGACCGACCCCTCCCGTCCTCCGCCGCCCTCCGCCGCCGCCGATCCCCAAGGAACAGCGGGCGGGGCAGAAACCCTAGGCCCCGCAGCGGGAAGAAACGAGCGGCCATGTCGTACGACACGTGGAGATAGAGGACATGGAGTGGAGCGAGGAGCTGCAGGCGTACACCTACCCTTGTCCCTGCGGCGACCTCTTCCAGATCACCAGGGACGACCTCCGCCTCGGCGAGGACATCGCTCGCTGCCCCAGCTGCTCCCTCTACATCACCGTCGTCTACAACGCCGAGGACTTCGCCGGCGGCACGGGGAAGCAGGACCTGGAGCCCTCGAAGCAGCAGCCCGTCGCCGTCGCTTGAAGTTTCATGTCGATTCTTGGAGTTTTGTTGTGAATTGTAATGTCAGTTGGGTTTTTGGGTGGGTCGGGGCGGTTTTGTTAGGTAGTGAGGATCGGTTCGTGTGAGTCGAGGTTGAGGTGTATTGTTAAGTCTCTCCGCGATTTTGCCAAATGATAGAAGTTCACCGATTGATTGATATACAAAAAGGTTCATGGAATGTATCCATTCGATGGTTTTGGATGCTTTTTAAGTGTTTGAGGTTGCTTCCTCCTTGGTCTTTAGGACGAAGTGGGAATATGGGTTATGTGATTTTGCCCCTGTGTTGTATCTGCTTCCCTTGTCGAGAATTTTCTTATGGGTGGGTTCGGGACGTGATTATGTGGAAAGGGTGATCTTTAAATCCAGTTGGGGTCAATGCAAGCAAACTTGGAATCATGAGGATAGCTTCTGTCACCTTGAAACCTGCTACTGTCAGATAATTTATCTCATACGGTCTTTCTCCTATGGGTGTAATGTAGAATATTTAGAAACTGTTCTGATTGCGGATATGACTGTGGTAATCGATCTCGCCTGGTTTCTGCTTTATCAATCTTGCTCGAGAAGATAGTTTGTGAGATCCATCTTGATTTTGATGAGAGTTTTCATCTTTAGTCGCAGATAATAAACAAATCCATTGTGCAACAGGCCACTCTTTATTCTTTGCACCTTCACAATCTCCGTATTTTTTCCTTCTACATCCCCTGCATCTGCTATTGTTTATTCACATTCCTGTTAGGTATTTCATGGGTTCGTTTCTGCTGTTTGTGAGGTCTAGGTATTAGAGTAGCGTGATTTTCAGCAATTTATAAACTCTAGGTTCAGTCAATCAGGGTGCTGCTCCCCCCGTTACTGGTATTTTTTTTGTTGATGTTTCACTCTAGCTGAGACATCATTCATCATGAGCATGTGGTAACCTCCGAGTATAATGTTCAGTAGACCCTCTTTAGTTATCAAGGAGATTTAGAATCTTGGGTTACTTCTATCTTATACTCTTTTATTCGGGTTTGGATATCTTGCTCTGATTTATTGGAGTCTTGGATGTTTTCCTTTGTTTTTTTCTTTTCTTTACTTCTTTAATTCTTGTACATTTATGATGTACTTGAATTTTTTATTTTAGTAAAATCCTTTTTTACCTGTAAAAAAAAAGGTTCTGGTACTGCTGTGTTCTGATGTACAACTATAGGAAAATTAATAATGTAGATTAAAATCCTGGATCAGACCAAAGGTATGGCCATGGTGATCTTTGTGGTTACATCGACTCTAGGTCATTTTCTGTGGTTGGCTACATCTTTTCTGGCCGTTTCGCATTATGTAGTCAGATGTATCATGCCATTAATTAGAATGTCTGTTTTAATTTAGGCTTGTTGTGTAGGTTTCTTTTCCCTCAAATCAACTTCCTTAACACCTTCTAATTGTATGACCATACAGGAGGACACTAAGAAATTTGCTTGATGGCTAACAGCCTGTTTGGATGGACAGAAAGTTAAGTCATGCTTTAGATGGAATTCAGATTTGTCAACTGTTGTAGGCTGCATTGTGATTTTGCTAAAATGCACTTTTTGGAACAAATGTGTGGATGCTTCTGTATGTATGTGAAGGGAGGAGAAAATAAGAAATGTGAAGTATGTGAGTGAACAATTATGATTTATGATCTACTTGCAATTCTTTGAGTAAGCTATCTACATGTATCTCTGACTCGAGAAGTACCATTTACGTATATTGGCTAGTTGTGCCAATAGGCAAGAAGAATCACCTCATGGCCTCTGGAAGTATCATATGCCATAGATTGACTGGCAGTGTTTCTAGTACTTCAAGAATGTTGGTTTTTTAATCTGTATGTTATATGGTTTGAATTAAACATTATAAATTCCAACTTGGAGGCCGTGAATAATAGGTTTTATTTTGAATCAAACCTAGTAGACATGAGATGATTCGGCATCATATCTGGAGAAAAGCTTGCTTGTGGGGTTCCCCATGATTTAGTTGAAGTTTGTTATGAGTGTCTAGAGGCTTTTTGTTTCTAGATGTACCTCATGACTTTCATGAAGAAGAATTGCTGAAAACATTAGCCGTACTTGATTTTTCAGAGTGCTCGCAATATACATAAACCGTAAAGGGCATTTTCTTTCCGCACTTCTTAGTTTAATTTGACTTCAAGTGTTTGCTGTCGTTGTTTCGTGAATCTTGCAGGCTATTGGTTGGGGGTGAAGAAACCTTGTATTCAGTTTCTATTTATGCCATAGTGTGGCATAAGGTTCCTATCTTATACATTTATGAAGTTAACAGTAGTTTTGGGATGAGATAATAACACAAATGGTCTTTGAATTTTGACGCAATGTATAATATGGTTCTTGAACTTTTAATTTGTTCTGTGTGGTCCCTGAAATTTAGCCTAGTATGCTATGTGGTCCAATAATTTTTAATTTGATCAATGTGGTCCCTGGACTTTTAGGACATGTTCAATTTAGTCTTTGGATTATATGAAAATTTCAATGTTGTCATTCCATTAATTTAAGTTCAAGAACAACATTGATTATTTTCATACAGTTTAAGGACAGTTTTTTTTATTTATTTTTATTTTGGTCGAACAAGGACATAAATTTTCATATAATTCAAAGACAAAGTTTTTTTTATTTTGGTCGAACAAAGACTAAGTTGAGCATGTATAAAAAATCCAGGGACCATATTGAGCATATATATTGAGTTACAATTTATGGATCACATTGAACAAATTAAAGTTCAGGAACTATATTGAATATTGTGTCAAAGTTTAGGGCCTATATGTGTCATTTTCCATTTTGGGATAGCTGAGGAAGTTTGTTTTACTTGCTGTGAGGCTGGCATAATTCGTAGGATCAGAAAGAGGATATCCTGCGAACCTTCGTGACCGTAACAATATACGAAACGTTTCGTCAGTCTATTAGCAGAGTGGCGATTGGTTCAGTGAGTATGTGGATCTCGTGTGTTCTACCAGGTTTTTAATTGCCAAAGTTATGTGCACTTCCTCTTTAAGTGTAAGCGTGGTCTTTTGCGGGGGATCTGCTGGTTTATCCCCAATAAAGAACTCTTTGTGGCATGGTTCTCTTGAAAAAGTGGGAACTTCTTTTGGCCACAACTTGACGATTTAATGGATCCAACGTTCACTCCACTTTCCTGAAATGCAGAAAATGCACTGCAGACCGTGAGTCAGATCCTCTGGAGAGAGCACAAGCCTGAGACTCCTTTGATGTAGTATGATTGGGATCGTCGCTTGATGTCCATTGATTTTCATCGACTCTGGACACTTGATTAAATCATTACTTTAACAAAGTTTGACACGGCTTGGAGATCGACGTTCCTTTACATTATTTTAAGCAGAGTAGGGGTGATCGGTTCCCGGTTCGGTTTAGTTCCAAGGTGGGACTGGGAATTGACCGTACCGGTGGTGCGGTCCAATCCAATAGAACCGGTAACTTAGGGTTTAGTTTACATTTTACTAATTTTTGTTAATTCACTTAGGATTTAGTTCACATTTTACTAATATTTTTGAAGAAAAGAAATAAAAAATATATATATGGTCGGTCCGGTCGGTTCGGTTCCCCCTTGGGACTAGACCGCTTGGACACCAGTTCTACTTTAAAGAACTGGGAATCGGACCGACACTCCCGGGAACTGGACATCGGTTTCACTTTAAGGAACTGGGAACCGAACCGACACTACCGGAACCTAACCAAACTGGCCGGTCCGGTCTGGGCGGTCGTTTTGCACAGGTGTTTTCCTCAACCTTCTGCTTTTAAGAGTGAAAAAATTTGGTCGTCTTTTTCTGCAATATTTATTTTGTGGAAACACACGCAGCAAGCACCGAAGCAACATGACAAATAACCAGATTGGACTCCTGTCCCTTTGTGAACATCCTCTGCATATTTATATCTGCGCAAAAACTTGAGGAACCTTGTCCAAGACTCCAAATTCAAAAACCACTTTCTACTTTCTCAGGAGCTTCCATGGGAACTTTTCTTGGGCACTTGGTGCCAGGACTCGCCCTCACCTTGCTTGGTTTATGGCACATCATAAACATATCAAGAAATTACTTCCTCAAAGGATCAAGCAATTTCAAATCGCAATTTTGGCATCCGTTCACCCCCTCTGTCCCCATATCCAAGTATTCCGAGCTTGTACTCGTGTTCTCGTTCTCTATTTTTGCGATCTTCGCGCAAGTGGTCGACTTCCCTATCATCCGCCTTGCTTTTGAGCTCGATAGTATCGAGCACGCCACCATGTTTCTCCACCTTGCTATATTCTCTGGTTTCGCTCTTTTCGCAGAGATCAACCATAAAACAGAGACTCTATCGGGGGTTGCGGGCGTTCTTGCAGCATCTGTTTTTGGTCAAGAGCTTCTCTTGCTTCATTTCCATTCCACTGATCATGTTGGACTTGAAGGGCACTACCACTGGCTACTGCAGCTCGTGGTGCTCGCATCTTTGGCCTCGTCTTTGGCAGCAATATGTTTTCCCACCAGTTTCCCAGCATTTCTAGTTCTTGCCATTTCTGTGACCTTTCAGGGTTGCTGGTTCATAAACATGGGGTTCTTCCTTTGGGTACCAGAATTTGTGCCAAAGGGTTGCACCGCACAGTCCATTCACGCTAGCAGAAAATTAGCGCACGGTGCAGTAACTTGCGGCTCAAGCGATGCGGACTCAAGGGCTCGAGCCCTTGCTAACTTGCAGTTCAGTTGGATACTTGCAGGGATTTTGTTTTTGACAGGAAGCCTGTGTCTGAAATGGGCCGGTAAATGTCCAGAGAGCGGGCAGCATACGGAGTACGAGCGACTTCAGGGTAAAGGTGCTGAGTTGCCTCTATCATTTGATGGATGCAGGCAATCTCAACCTTAGTGTAACTGCTTGATAGAGCAACTAATGTGAATTAAGGGTGCTTGGAGTACTTGCTGTCGTCTAAGTAATAAGCTGGAGGGGTGAAGAATTGGTTCAGTATACTGGCGACTACTGTATATTTCTTTGCAGTTACGACCGAATTGTAAAGATTATGATAACTTATCTGCTTATTATTATACAAATAGCTTATTTATAAGAAAAACCTCTCTCTCTCTCTAGTATATTTTATAAAGATACGAAGTGAAAGATACCCAGGTTGGCAACCAATAGAGAATTGAATTGGTCAACTAAAACTGGATCATTTTATTAGGAGAGTAACAATGTAATTTTCAAAGTCTGCCCCTTTTCTTACCATAAAAAAATAGCTCATCTCGATCAACTTAGGAAGTTTTTTTTTTGGTCGGACAACTTAGGAAGTTTAAGTATGTTATTTTATATGACAATGAAGTTCAAGTAGGAAATTGAGTATGGAGTGATCGAGCCATCTCCACCATTCAATTTTCCAAGTGGAAATTAATTTTGATATGTGTTGAAAATCGCAGCATGACCTTTCACTCAAAATATAAAAGAAAAAACAAAATATGAAGGTTACCATGAAGGGGCTATGGAGTATTTCACGGAAACTTGAGACGGATATTCTATCCCACAACACGGCAATCTCAGCCTTTCAAAGGGACTGCCTTTTTGTCTCTAAGAACCATGAAACTAATCCATAAAACTTTCAAGTTTCAGATTATTTTTTATTCATAGGATCTATAGAGTGGCAAGTAGAGAGCATATTTAGGTCCCGTTTGATTCAGCTTTGGGAAGGGGCTTTCGAGGCCGAAAGCCCCTTCCCAAAATGTTGAACCGTTTGGTTCAGCTTTCCGAGTCCGAAAAGCCGAAAGCTAGCATTTGGAATGCCGAAGGCCCAAAGCTGGTCCGGACCAGCTTTGGGCTTTCGGTATTCCACAAATGCTGAAGCCTTTTTTTCTCTTCCCAAATTATCCTCACTCAAATTTTAATATTCCGGTTTTGCCCCTGATACTATTCATCTTCTTCAACGCAAGGGTGGCCCGCGAGGGTGGCCGACGAAGGACCAGCGAGGGGCCGGCGAGGTCGCTAATCAGATCAGCGGCGAAGTCGCTTTGACCCAGCGTCGTCGCACGGGTCGTGACCCAACGGCGGCCGTCGCCTGGCCGTCGAGGTCGCGCGACCCAGGCGGCCGTCGCCTGAGGTCGCGACACCCAGGCGGCCGTCGTCTGCGGTCGCGCGACCCAAGCGACAGTCGCCTGGGGTCGCGCGACCTAGACGAAGGCCGCTTGGGGTCGGGCGACCGCCCTTTGAGCGCGGTCGCGCTAGGGGTCACGCGCGACCCGTGCGACGGCCACTTGGGTCGCGCGACCCTGTGGCGACGCCGTGGCCTTCTCGGGTTGCGACCTAGGCCGATGTCACCCGAGGTCGCGCGACCTCGCTGGCCCCTCATCGGCCCTTCGCCAGCCAGATCCACCCTCGTCGGCCCCTCGCCGGTCACATTTTGGTGAAGAAGATAAACAGTAACAAGGGCAAAATAGGAATATTAAAAATAAAAATTGCCAAAGCCCTTTGCAAAATTTTTTTTGCCAAATACTACTTAGGCCAAAATAGATTCACAAATTTTTTTTTACCAAACGCCACTTGCATTTCTCCAAGTGGCTTTCACCTAAAGGTATTTGCATTCCCCCAAGTAGAATTTGAAAAACCAAACCAAACGGGCCCTTACTCCGTCAGTTCATCAAGCCAATAATATAGTTCTAATGTTATAACAAGATCGGGTCAGGGAAAAAACAAGAGGGGAGTTTTCAGAAATACATGACTAGATAAACACACACGATTTTATTACTGGAGGCTAGTTTGCCTTTGAACATTACGACTGCTGCCTTTTATTGGCATAAAGGAAGGGAAGGACAAACGGGGTCATCTCTAGGGGTGATCGGTTCCCGATCCAGTCCGGTTCTAAGGTGGAACCGGGAACCAAATCGATAGAACCGGTTCCCAATTTTAGGAACCGCGGACCGGACCGATTGGTTCTAGGACCGGGAACCGGACTGGACCGTCGGTCCGATCTAATGGAACCGGTCACTTAGAGTTTAGTTTTTTTTTTGGTTAAACACTTAAGGTTTGGTTCACATTTTACTAATTTTTATCAATGAATTTATGTTAATGAAGTTCACTTAGGGTTTAATTTACATTTTACTAATTTTTATCAATGAATTTATGATAATGAAGTTCACTTAGAGTTTAGTTCACATTTTATTAATTTTTTTAAAGAAAAAAATAACAAAAATATATATTAAATAGTCGGTCCGGTTCCCCCTTGGAATCGGGAACCGGACCGCCCGGAAATCAATTCCGCTTTTAGGAACCGGGAATCGGATCGATAATCCCGAGAACCGGACCAAACCCGTCGGTCCAATCCGATCCGATCCGATCTCGATTTGGACGGTCCAAGTTGCTTACTCCTAGTTATCTCCCGTAACATTCTAGGAGAAAGTAGTGACCTACAATTATTTGTGGTGAATGATATGAACAGTGCTCTATTTGTCTTTTGTTATAGTTGGTCGTCCTTTTTTTTTGGCCAGAACTAAACTGTTCATTGATATCTAGTAAAACCAGAATCCACTTTCGGGGTCTCAAAACAGAGCATATCTCTAAGTGCCTGTGGATGACGGGTCAACCAGTGTTCGGTGAGTGTTTTTTTCCTGTGGGTCTTCACTACCCAGTCCGCCACACTATTACTGTTTCTATTACAATATAGCAGCTTTAAGTTAGAAAATGAAGACAACAGCCCATGTGCTTCACTGATGAGAGCACGCTGTTCCCACGGCGATTTTTGTGTATACTTCAAGCTGTTGACTAGATTCTGGCAGTTTGACTCTAGAGTCAGTCTTTCGCCCGCACGAGGAGAGAGAGAATTTGAGGGTTTGCACCATGGCTAGGCTTTCTGCTTGCTCGGCGGAGGAGACGAGGACGTCCTTTGCGAAGCCATCGACCAAGATCCCAGCTGAGTTGCGGCACACACAGGCAATTGATCCTTCAAAAGATCCAGGTTGGTGAGCTGCATCTATATTTACTTTTATTTCGCCCCTTTATGGAGGAATCCAGGTATCCTCCTCTTCACTGTTCGCAGCATCAATTTTCCTGTCGAGGTTGTTCCATCTGCTAAAATTTCTGAGCAATTGTTGTCCTCTTTCAACCAGCAACTTTGGGTCCGGGAGGTGCCTTCTAAAGACGAGGTTGTTCCTTGCTTTCCAAATTTCCCAAAGAACTACCGAGACTAGCTTAAAATCTGGTGAGTTGTTGCTGTTGGGTATGTATTTGATCAGCCATTCGTCTATTCTGGAAGTTTGTTATTTAGAATTCTGGATGTTTAGTGCAGGAGCATCCCAGACTTCCCTCATCCATTTGCAGAGAAGAAATAAATGTTCCGGGGTCTCCACATGTGCTCGGCAGATTGGGCAGTTCGGATCAGGTACCATCCTCCTTCTGTACAAATTTTCCTTCGTTGGGAGGGCATTTTGACATACACTCCATATAAAGTTTCTGATTTTGTGGGGAGTTTTCATTTTCCATATCCTGTTCCAGAGCTTGGTAGGAGATTGGTGAGAGGAGGAGGCACACTGAGCTTCTTAGTTTTTGTTTTTGCGAAGAATGTTGTAGCTGCTCTTAACAGTGTACTCTCTTTCCCTCGTGCCAGTCAAGATCAGTTTGTCTTCATTCATTTGTGGTCTGATATGTATTGCGAGGATCTCACGCACTACCTGTTCATCGAATAATCTTCGTAAGACCGGTTCCTTCCATGTGCTTTCCCCTTGGTTTATCAGTTCATCAACTTTTTTAGGGTCCCCTGCATTAGCCGGTCCCCCTATAGATCCCCTTTTTAGCCACTTATCTTCCCTGATGTTAATGTTCTACCCATTTCCTACTGACCACATGACCGAGTCTTCAATTGATGTTCTCCCCATAAGTATGCTCTGCCATCCCCAAGATGGTCTGGATCCCTTCTCTGCCTTCCAGAAAAACTTAGTAGGGTAGTAGATGCCCTTTAAGACCTGACTACACATAGTTGTATGGTTTTGTGCTAATTGCCAAGCCTGTTTTCCAAGCATGGCCTTGTTAAAAGATGTTAAATCCCTAAACCGGAGGCCTCCCCTGTCTTTTCTTTGTCTTAGCACTTCGGCCTTCCTCCAGTGTACTCCTTTTGTTGTGGTTTGGTTCTTCCACCAGAAAGCTGTTATTTTTTGCTCAATAGCTCGACATACTGAAACTAGGATCTTGAAAATTGACATGGCATATTGTGGTAATGCTTGGATAATAGTTTTTATCATAATTTCTTTCCCCGCTTTAGACATTGTGTTCTCTTTCCACCCTTCAAGCTTCATATTTACCCTTGCCAGGATCCAAGCAAATATTTGCATTTTGGATGCTCCCCAATCAGAGGGAATACCCAAGTACTTCCCGGTCTTATCAATCTCCGAGACTCTTAGTCCTCTAGCCATGTTCCTTCTTAATTCACTAGGGCAGTCCTTGCTGAAGTATATTCCCGACTTGTTCAAGTTAACTGCTTGTCCTGAAGGAAAGCAATACTGGTGAATGATTCCAGCCAGGTTTTGACATTCTTGTAGCTTCCCATCTAGGAAGAAGATTGAATCATCTGCAAAGAGTAGGTGAGATAGTACAGGGCAATGTCTATTTAGTTGTATCCCTTTTATAGTGCCATCTTGCACAAATTTTTTCATCAGCATCAACAGGAAGTTTGCTTGTACCATCTTACAAGTCTGCAAGGTCACTTTCAGAGAGTTCACTATCTGATGAAGTGATCTCTTTAACATTACTTTCTTGGCTAAAACTAGAACGCCTAGCCCTTTCGATTTCCAAGGCAAGTTGGACTCGTTCAAAGTTGTCTGGGGTCACTTCTATCCTCTTCTTTCTCGGTCTTGAAGTGTTGATAGAAGAGCAAAATCCTGGATCATTAAATCTTGCATCGGGTTCCGTTGGCTGGGGCCAGGTAGATGTGTTAGGCATTTCACATGGTGGTACATCAATTATCATGTTGTCTAGGGGACCAAAATCGCACGGATCCTGTGCAAGTGGTCCACCCCAAAGGTCTGGTTGCTAAGATGAATGATTCTCGTTGATAGAACTTTAAGCGAAGGTAAATATATCACATTGATACAAATTTAAAATTTTTTATGTCACAAAAAAAATTTAGAATAAATGTGTCACAATGAGCATTATTTAGGATTTTCGGTGGCTTTTGCCTTTTATAATTTATGATATCATGACATTTGCCTAAAACATAAAAATATTTATTTTTTTCAAATGTAGAAGGTTGCGATAGTTCGTTATAATTATATTTAAAATGTCATAATTTAAAAGAGTTTGAAAAAGCTTTTTGCGGTCAAAATTGCACTGGGATTGTGTGAAATTTTGTATGACTACTGCCAATTGTGAGATTTGAACTCAGAATCATTTACTCTGATGTCATGTGAGATTTTTTTATGATCACTACCAACTATTCTAAAAATGTAAACTGATAGATGAAAGTGTAGTTTAATATTTAAATATTCTAATAGATTTGATTGAAAATAACAGTACCGTGGTCTTAGCAAGCTCCTAAATTTCATAACCATGCGGGGGAACGATCTTATATTTAATACCTTGTAGACCTATCATGTCTTTTTGGCCATGTGCACCTCTCATGTCCACCATATAACAATATACATGCATAATTGATTTCGCGAGGATTGGATATTTAAAACAACATGTTCTGGCAGTACTAATTCCGCAATGATCGTATATTAAAGACGATATATTCTCACTTCGCCAATTTTTCTCTCTCTTTTTTTTTTTTTCTATCCAAGATATATGATGGCCCACCTCGCGTGTCCACGGATTAGTGACTCTGCGAGGCAGGCGACCTCCGGCGACGGAGTGGCTGATGATTGACGCAAAGGACGGGTTTCGAATTGAGCAACGAAGCAGGAGACACACGGGTCGTTGGGGATACATGGAAAGGCATTTTGTAAAAGGGAGATTACTTGGTTATGTGATTTTCCACTGATGGCGAGGGCATTTTGGTAAAGCCGGGTATTCTAGGTCGTTTCCATCGATCTAAGTACCGAATTGACATGTTCACACGCCATTCGATTAAAGGAAGCGAATTTAAGGGTGCGTTTGTCTTATCGAAATTTCAAAGGAAAACATTTTTCGTAAAAATCATTTTCACGGAAAAATGGTTAGTTTTCATAGTGATTGCTTTCTAGCCATAAACGGAAGTTGTCTTCCCTCGATCTAAGCTTGTCATTTTCGGTCCATAGAAAATATTTTACGTAAATTGATTAGTTTTTCTGTCATCCAAGTATCGAAAAGTCGGAAATCAAATTTTCGAAATACGTTTTCCTTCAAATAAACGGACTCTAAGATGTAAATTTATCCCCAGACTTTTAGGGGATCCTTATTCCTCATTTATGCTATGTACCCACTCAAAACATTAAGTGAATGAACTTCCAGCCGATGTCACACTATAGTATGCAATTACATCAACCCTTAAACTGCAATAGTAAGGTACTTAATAAATTGATAAACATTACTTAAGAGTTGATCTTGTCCACAAGAACCATCATTCTTAAAGAAACCAGACAGATGTAACAAATACTAGAGACCGAAGTCCATTTTCATTTTCCTGGTCTACATTATAGTAAGATACGATGACCTAGTAAATGACATATTCATACAACCTCCCTATCTCCAACTAGGAAGTGAATGCCAGAATGTCCGGATCTTGTTTAAGAAGAGTCATCTCATCTTCACTGGTGGTTGTCCATGCATCAATTCCTCTGCCCTCTTCGTCGTCGACAAGAAAGATCGATCTGAGATTCAGTGATATGTTGCTGACGAGAACCGGCCTTCCCCACCCGAAGTCGATCTCATGTAGCCCGAACCGGCACCAGCTACTGAAAGCAATTGTACACTCTTCGCTCGAGGACGCAGTTTCGACAAATTCGGCTATAGAATTCTCCACCATCGAGCAGAACTCCTCCCTGTCTACTACTGTTGCATATTTCGTTTTGGCGTCCGATATCATGTTGTGGATTATATTCACCATCCCATTGAACTCCAAGTTCCTTTTGCCAGACACGGGTTGATCGGATCGCCCAAAAATCATGGCAAAGAAATTGCCACAAGAATTCGCAGGTATCGTTAGATTGATCTTCTCGCGCAAGTTGAAAGTCATATAAACTGCGAAAGTCCTTCCTTCGCCGTGTTTATATCGATCAATATTGACGAGGGCTCTACTTAATAGCGCCGAAACAACCTCAACCCTTGAAGGCTGGAAATTTTTGGCCATCGAATCCTTTGCATCAACCCTAGCTAGGGCTTTCAGCTTCAAAATAGCATCACCGCTGAACCTGAACCTTGACATGATGAGTTCCTTGCTGCCGATAATACGCGGTGGAGGCCAATTCACAACGGTCGACGCTTTCACTGGGAACAGAGATGACAATTCGAAACTTGGACAGACTGTAACATCTACGTTACCGCGGCAAGCGGTAGCCCACGAATTAATGAACATGGCCATGGTGTACACGTCGCCAATCTTGTGTGTAGAGCGCAAGGCAACTGCTGATCCGCCGCACTCGAATGTAGTCACTTGAATCACAACCAATGGATTGCCTACTATGTTGGTTGGGAATTGCGACAAATGATCGAGCAAATCCATGTCGGGGTCTCCATGGAGGAGCTGATCAATCTGGCCATCCACTTTGGCATGGACGAACTCGACTCCAAGGTCGTTACAGTCGATAAAACAACCGTCGTCCTCGACATATCTCCCTGCCATAGGATAAAAGAGTGTTAGAGTTTTGGAAAGTGACTCCTCCATTTGGTGAAGCCTTTGAGAGATATCAACTCCGGGGTTCTCAGCATTATCTCTATAGTAGAAGATGACGCCCACATAATTTGGCATCTGAAGCTCATCCATTGATGTTAGCTTCCATTTTTGCCGGTCGCTCGGCGTCGGCACCGACGGCTTGACCAACTTCTTCCACTGTACTTCCACCTTCATGCTTGGATTGCTTCACAAGATGTGTAGTAAGTACAACTATGGAAGTAATTTAAAGGAACGAGGATGGGGAATCTGGTAGTGTACAAGTTCTGTCCAGTGAAATGCTGGTTTTATAGAGCACTCCAAGATGACATTTGAATCTTTAAAGTCATACGCATTTTAAGATTGCGTGTGATTCTCGTTGGCATAGTCGGTCGCTGTAAGAAACCATGTAAAAATATCTTGGAAATGAGAGTGACGCTTTATCAAATTCCTGGAGAAAGAAGGAAATTTCTTCACTTGCTCATCAAATTATCTTTAAGTCACAGAAGTCAATGAGAGAACAAACAAAAAGACGTACCAAACCATTTATGATGATAAGATGTTTGCGGTCACGGTTACGATAATTTTCTTCGATGTTTGTGAGCCTCTAGGTCGTATTTGGAGCAGTTGTACAGCTTTCGTTGTTGGACGGTGGTCCGGACATCGATTTGTGTAAACTTCGTGGGTCACACTTTGGTGGAAAAATCTTGAGAAAACTACCAATCAGAAACTGGTAAAAGGAAATGAGCAGAAAAAAATGGCTCATTGGACATGTATCAAACCCATGATCATTTATGATATTGAACTTTTACCAGAGCAAGACTAACATTTTCTTTTGAGAAAAAACCAAAAAAAATTTTAAACTATATCAACTGTGACATATTTATTCAAATTTTTTTTTGTGATATCAAAAACCACAAACCATGCCAGCTGTGACACATTTACTCTAAGTGTTTTCTTGTGACATCAAAAACTAAAAACTTGTATCTGTGTAACACATTTACCCTCCGTCAATGCTCCGTTAGATGATGTTCCAGCCAAAACGACGTTATTTTTATTTCACTCAAGCAACATATGTGCAATGTCAACAATTTTTGCCTTCCGTTATCCGTGTAGGCAGATTTTTAACAATGTCATTGATAGAATTTTGACAGTGAATAAATGTGTCATATAAGTATAAGCTTGGGAGTTTTGGTGTTAAAAAAAATTTAGGAAAATGGAGTTACAGTAGGTATAGTTTGAGAGTTTTGGCGGTTTTTTCCCTTTTCTTTTTTGTTTTAGCAAAGGATTGGTAAATTCTAGAGGTAGAAGTAACTAAGGCAGTATGCAAGAATGGAGAAACCAATATAACTGGAGGTCATTAGTATATGCATCTAAAGGCTCTTGTATTGGGAGCATAATCAAGAAAGAGCAACAAAGGAAAGAAGGCAAATATAGAACATGGCTTCTTTCCTAAGAGTTGCGATTTTTGTTTTTGCTCTCCTTTTTATGTGCGACATTGTTAGAGGCGATCCTGACGAAACACTCGTGCGCGAAATCTGAAATGGGGATTGAGATACCCCGATTTATTACAATGATCGTGTGGACGATCTTCTCCAAGACACAGCAGACAACATATCGAGCTGTCCTTATTGTGGTTATTTCAATGAGCAACGTTCTTTGTTGGTAGATACCCACTACAGCCGCAGAGCTTGCGATGGGTAAATCTAACGTCTGGATTGGGAGAAGTGCTTAACGCGATGCTTATGCAAAATTACCCAAAGATTGTCGAGGCAGTGTTGGTCCTCAACTCCAACTCCTTAACTAAGAATTAAGTATGGAGAGTACCTTCTCTACGCGAATTATCTCACATACTCGTGCACAAATAAAGGATTACCTCGATAAGTAGGAGCCCTGAAATGTGCATAGTTGTCTAGTTTAAGACGGTAAAAGCTATGCACGGGTGAGTAATGTCTGGGATCATAGCGAACAATGATACGTACCAATACATGCTAGGGACTTTGGTATATATCCGTTCATCCTATTTCTTCACATTTAAACATTATGAAGTCATACTCTGTCTTGTCGAGTCTCTATCTTCACGATCCTCGCGCACAAGTCCGAGACTTCCCTTTCCCCTGCCTTGCTATCGAGCTCAATGCTTTCAGCCACAAAACCATGTCTCTCCATCTCGCATCATTCTCCGAACTCGATCGACCTTTGTGCAAAGATCAACCCCAAAGCTGAGATTCTAGGAGTTTGTATTGACATGGATAGAGTCCATAATTCACTTGGATTAGCAAGTGGCAAATAGGCCTCTACCAATACCCCATTCACTAGCTGGATAATGCCCAAGAGCTTAAGTCTACAAGCCAACCCGTTTAATTTACTTTATAAACACAAGTTATTCCTCACTGATGGTACTTCTCTCTCTAGACTAATGTGTATTTGCCTTATAATGTACATTAAATTAAGCATTGGAGAGTCTTCAACTAATGTGTACTGCTCCGCAGCTGTGTCTTTCAAATCACATGGTCTAATATTCAAATGGCAACTATTCCCTCCAAAAATGCGCGTCCATTTCTTCTTGATCTTCAACTGCCTTGCAATTGTGCCTCTGTGCTCCTCTATTGATGGCTCCATTACTTTCTAATTGCTTTTCTTTAAACTAGTAACATATAACTATGCCTTTTGTGTCTCTAAAGATCTTCGGACAGCATATTGCAATTTGCTTGTTGCCAATATCCACATCGCCATGTGTCGATAATTGAGTAGATACCATTGAGGTGCATCATCATCATCAATTGGTTAGATATTGATAAAACGCCGTGCACGTGTTTCCCATGTAATTATTCATGCTCATGTGCCAAACACGCGTTTATCGATGACCTGACCATATTTGGATGTAAACAATAACAATTCATGTCCATGTGCCAAGCAAGTGTTTATCGATGATATGATCATATTTAGGTGTAAGCAAGTTGATTACTTGAAATTTGCATGTTGATTTCCTCATAGATTCCTACGTAATCAAGCCTATAATGATTCATGTGTGAATTTGATGTTAGATTGCGTTTAGAATGATGCATGTTAGGAAAATCGAGTTTAGGAGTGAATTGATCTTGATTTTTTACATGTTTTGGTGATTAGATGAATGGAATAGACTTGCATGTTTGAAAATGATGATAAATGTTGTTGAATGTTCATAAAATAGGTTGAAGATTGCCTTGAGTTTCTGGAAAATTGATTGAATGAGATTGGAAATTGCCTAAATCAACTTGAACAACTAGATTGTGTGTTGTAAGACTTAATCAGAAAATTTGGAAATTCAGAGTTCCTCCGACCTTTGCATGTTCAATGCTTTTTAGGATTTTTCGTGGTCAGAATATGAGAAAATGTTGTGAAATACTACTTCTCCCTGAGATCCGTATATTTCCAATGATATAAATTTCACAAAAATCAGATTTCATTTGATATGGAAAATCGCTTGTTCAAAAATGTCAAAATCTGTCTCGCTTGATCTAAAATTTTTTCAGAAGATGTAATCATATTTGCTTAGCAATTTTGAGGTTCATAATGTCTTTATTTACAAAAACTCGAAGAATAAAAGTTGTTCATAATGGTCGTAAATGGTAGACTGGAAATTTTGAGGTCATTTCAGCAAGATTTAGAGGTCCTTACGCGCAAAAAATGGGACAAGGTCTGACTGGCCTATAAAACTGTTTGCATTTGAGTCCTTATTGAAAATCTGCAATTTCGTCTAAAATTGAGGGCTTTTTTACGAAAAGTTAAATCACGAAAGTTGTATAGAACACACTGATACAGATGTCTGTCCCATTTGGCACATTTTTGACTTCGTTTGATATTTTTCTCGCAATTTATAAAATCGGGTCTGAAACCGAGTCAAAAGCTGAGTGTCGTGTCTAAATTGCAAAATTCGGGTAATTCGGGTCCAAATTGGACGAGATGGTCTTAATGAACTTTAAACCAGACATCTTAAGCCTAAATTGTTCAAATTGGAATTTGTTTAGTGGGTCAATTGATTGAAAATGTAAGTGATCAGAATCTGTCCAGAATTGAACAAGTGATCCTCATGGCTCACTAATTGATTGATTGCTTTCCAAGGTTAATTAGCCTAATTGCATGTTAAATTAAGCCTTGCATGTGATTGTTGGATGCAATATTCAGCTTGTGACGCATATCGATCGACGGGTGGATTAGAGGGGATGGTTAATGCTTAATTAGTTATTAGTGGTATTAGCCTACTGCTTTGTGAACGCAAGTGAAGGTCAATTATTGTTAATCTTAATCAATAAACCCCTAGGTGTATTAAGACGTGGCTGGGAAAATCGAAATGCATGCGTGATTAAGTTCCCGAACCGAACCGGAGGTTATTGCTTGACTTGAGTGATCTTTGTTAATTGCTTGATTTAATTGAATGCATGTTGTGATTGGTTGAATGGATATGATTGACAATCGATGACCCGAGGTGGTGGCTGAGAGCTCGAAGACTGGCCGCCAAAGTGGTGGCGATCCAAGGCGGCACTTATATTAGGTTCAGTTTAGTCTAGCTTAGTTTCAATTAGGCTAGTCTAGTTAATAACTTTAGGTCTTAATTAGTTTATATTATAACTAATAAAATCCAATTAGACTTAGAATCACCTTTAAATAAATGGTTAGAATAGCATTACAATCGTAATGGGTAGAAACTAAGCTTAGTTTAGATAGGTTTAGTCTTTAATCTCTAGCTTATTAGGGTTCATGTCCCAAGGCTCAATAACAAGGCGTTGTTGTTTATATTTTGCTCGACTTAGTATCGGGTCTTCATTTGGTGATGTAATATTCTTAAACGCCCGACAAATTGTGGGTTTCTCCTTTTGCGTACTTTACCTAGTCATTTCAATATTTAAGTGTTTCCTTCTCGTACCGCACTTCAATATATTAATTGTTAATTTCTTTTCTAGAATAGGTTAGGTCTAGATTAGACTTATAAGAAATCCTCTCAAAAACATTTGCATGATCACTTAGCGGCTTTAATACCTTTTGGATCATAAACGATAACAAAAATTGCATTAAATAATTACATTTTCACGAACTTAGACACCTTGCTTGGTGGGTTTTACAGCTGGACAATTACTTGCTGCCCACGTCCATCTAAATAACTCTTGATTACTCGATTTTTTACTAGAAATTTCTCCCCCCCAAAAAAATTGATCCTTTATTTAACGATATAATTATTATACGGGGGACTGACATAAAATTCCTTCTAAGGAATTTTATTTCTTTTTCTTACCGGATTCTTGTTTATCTTTTGGATAGATAAAAGAGACTTTCGCCTTCGGGAAGAGATAG